TTGTTTTATTAATAATTACTCAAGATTCTGTTTTTCAATTCCGATGAAACTCAGTGATTGTATTAACATTGATGAAATAAACCTCTGGTGCGCTCACTCTTCATTTGTTTCGTCAGACTGGTTCTTGATATAAACAATTGAATTTCAGACGATGACGTGGGGTTCACATATCGAATGTTAGATGGCGTGATTCTTAGAACTTATGATCAACATCAGTTCTACCAACCTTGATGCGGCTAAATCCACGGCCACCTATCGCAAAATGTATTCCCTATCTTCATTGGTCACAATTCGGTCACAATTGTCACATTGATGCCTGTAATTTTGGTACGGCACCAGACTAAATTTAGCGACATTCACCCACGCCATGTTATGTTCATCGAAGTAGGCGAAAATCAAGGAATTATAAAACAGGAAAGGATTGAAGTGCGTACACCATCAGAGGTTTATTTCATCAATGTATTAACAGTATCAAGAACTTTCTTTTGGTGTAATTAAATTCAGAATAATGATTCCAGTGGCGTCGCAGTGGGTTACCTTTTCGATATTCATGATAAAATAGATTTATCTCCAAATTTTAATGTAGCTGCCCTCAAATCACCCATTGAGATTACCCAATATCCTCAATGAGTAATATTCTGAAGTTTTGAGACTTTTTCAGTCACCAACCATACTAAATTTCACCATCACGAAAGCTTATACAGGGTAATCATAAAAAATAACAACCAATAATTCATTACCCTCTTGGAACGTAGCATTTCAGGACCTTGTTTATATGAACTTTTCATCTTAGAATCACCAAAATAATCGCCGCTTGAAGTTTGGCAAGATACTTAAATAACACCCTGTATAACTTAGACCAATACATGAGATGGGATGAACATGTTCTGCATATGGTTGAAAGACTTAGGCATTTAATATATTAAAATATACAACCTCAGAGCTATTTTAACGAAAGAGAATATTATAATAATATACAACTCACTAGTCGAAACTTTAATCAGATATTGTATCACAGAATGGGGGGGAGTCTTTGAAAATATACTGAATCATATTCAAGTGATTCAAAATTCAATAATTAAAATAATGTACCCTTATTTGAAAAAAGTCATACACAAAGAACAATATTTTATTTCGCACCAAAACTATATAACATGCCATCAATTGATTTAAGCAAAAACTCGAACATCAAAACATATAAAACGAATGTAAAAATGTTCATCATCACACACAATAAGCTCATTATTACTCTCCTAAAAAATGCACCACTATAAGCATGTACAAATATATTTCTCAATCAATTTTCTCTGTTCATGTGTTTTTCATATTTTTTTCCATATTATTCCATTTTATCCTTTCTGACTCTGAAATATCTGTTATTAGTGTAATTATACCTACTTTTTGAACCGGTTAATTTACAATTATTATTGAAAATGTATAAATATCATTGTTGTACCATATATGAAAATTATTGTCACCGTGAGGAAAAAAATGGTTGGCACAAAACAAGCCATATGCGCTTAGGTTGCCCTCCATTTTTTCTCAAATGGTCTAAATATAAACATTATACATATAATGTATCATAATCATTCGAAATGAATAAATGAAATGAAGAAATAACTATAGATACTTACTGAATAGTTGATGTTTTTCATAAAGTTGAATATCATTCAATTAACAACAATTTCTGATTCTGATGTGCACTTACAAGACCATCGTTGAATTATCAAAGAGTAGAGTAGGTAATCTGATGACTCTTCTTGAGGAACCAGTTAATTTAACTAATAATTACTGTTTGGCAAATTAATCATTTAAATTATAAAAATTCGACTCCCAAGTTCAAATTCAAGCCTCAGGGAGCAAAAATTGATTTTTTATTGGAGTCAATGGAATTCAAGTGGGTTCAGTTTTTATATCACGAATAAGGTATAGACACAGGCAACAGCTGTTTCTAAAAGGTGGCACAGCAGTTGTAATCTGACATAATACAATGATTATACTCACAAAGCGATAAAGGAGAAGGTAATAAAAAACTCTATAATATGCTTGTTCTTTGCTCTTGATGTCATTGCATACGCATTCAGATTATCTTCGTATGGTACCATATGGCAGTAAGGGTTTTAGGGGTTAACTCTCAAAATATCTTTGACATCCATTTTCGTTCATCTCTCATGGTGGAAAACATTATGAACTAATAACGACGAAGCTAATTGTCTAATCTATTCGGGGTCGAGTAAATGTATATCAACACAGTCAATCCAGTAGGTAAAAGAAGTGCACATCAATACTTTTTGCTCGAAACTTGATTGTGAATAACAAATGACCTTTGATAAATGAATAAATTGAATTGAAATCAGAACAGCTTTCATAATTGAATATTCTGTCTGATTAATCTTTTTTCTATCCATTTAATTGACAATTCTTTTATACCTTGGTACTAATAACCGAAAATAGTTCCTAGACCAAATGATCTCTTTGTCAACTGTTCTCGTATTGATTATGTTCCACGGTATAAAAGACATATGTATTCAATAAAGCTGTATCAATCTACTCAATTCTTCGGCATTGAGAAAATAAAGTGAGTGAAGGTGAGTTTATAGATTCGATCAAACTAACACGATGTTCTTTGAACATTATAGGGATTTCCTTTCGTGCGCTCCAAGCGATAAAACCAAAAAAACAGAAAAAAAAACAATGAGGAATTATTTATTAACAATCAACAATTAATATCCATGAGGATGTTTATTACATATCTTATATTAATTGAGAATGAAAAGGGAAAATGTCTTTCGATTAAAGATATCGAACAATAATTGTTCCTCCCTTGGCTGATATTTCAGAAGAGCATCATCCATGAAAATATCTATGAAATAGAGCCAGATCGCGAACTTTTCTACGGTGTTCCAGAGAAGTGAGTGAGTTTGTGAGCGAGGCATCACCCACGAGACGAATATGTTTGGGTGCTGCACTCCAAATATGGGAACAGTATTCCAGGACAGGTCGGATCTATGCCGTATAGATCATAAGCAGCTGATTGAAAGTGAAATAGCTCCTGGCCCGAAACAGAAAACCAAGTTTATGGGATGCACTTTTAGCAATTGATCTCACGTGATTTTCCCAAGAAAGATTATTGTTGATAGTAATACCAAGCATCGAAATGGATGTCTTCAAAGATATGGTTACTCCTGACAGAGATTATTGACAAGCTTATGTTGGGCACAGTGAGATCGGCTTTTCTAGAGAAAAAACATGCTTGTGTTTTATTTACCAAGTTATTGGACCCCCATTCGAGAATTGTTGCCAAGTCCATATTTCTGTTTTCAACATTTCTCCCTCGTTCGTTTCTGATTTGACTGGCTGGTATTGGAGCGCTGAAAGAGAAGGTGGTATGGACTGTACTATCATCCGCAAAGCTGTGTACTTGACATATAAAGCATTAATGATAAAATCATAGAAATCATCCATTTTTCTCAAAGTGGTCCAATTGATTTTAAAGAAAAAACAATGAAAATCCCAAAGTCTGTCGACCACAAAATCATTTAATAAGCGACGTGTTACTAGTTTCGGCCACAGGCCATCATCAGACACAAAATTGATGTAATATATGAGTACCTAAAATATAATGATAGACAATGTTATGGGGTAAAAAGAGTCATACAATCATATACTAACCTTATAACATATTGAGAAAAATATTAAAATTGAAAAGCTAAGTCCAAAAAATTCAGTTGACAGTCCAGCATATTCAAGTGGTTTTTAATCTGGAGAGCGTCCAGTAAAACCAAATTAAAATTGGGTTATTGGCGAAGTACATCAGAAAATAATTATTTAAAAATTCTCTCACGTGAGATTCATCAAGAAATGCGAAAAGCAAATGGAAGCTGAGATAGAATTCAAGGGACCAGAAACATCATAAATCACAAGGAAATAAATAGTCAAAGAATGAGTGACACATGTCAAAGTCAACCGGAACTGACATGAAACTTTGAAACCGGTTGACTTTGACATGTGTCACTCATTCTTTGACTATTTATTTCCTTGTGATTTATGATGTTTCTGGTCCCTTGAATTCTATCTCAGCTTCCATTTGCTTTTCGCATTTCTTGATGAATCTCACCGTGAGAGAATTTTTAAATAATTATTTTCTGATGTACTTCGCCAATAACCCAATTTTAATTTGGTTTTACTGGACACTCTCCAGATTAAAAACCACTTGAATATGCTGGACTGTCAACTGAATTTTTTGGACTTAGCTTTTCAATTTTAATATTTTTCCCAATATGTTATAAGGTTAGTATATGATTGTATGACTCTTTTTACCCCATAACATTGTCTATCATTATATTTCAAGTACTCATATATTACATCAATTTTGTGTCTGATGATGGCCTGTGGCCGAAACTAGTAACACGTCGCTTATTAAATGATTTTGTGGTCGACAGACAGCAGAGAACATAGTTGGGAAGTCAAGCCATAAGATGGAAGCTTGGCGAGGAGTCCGTGGTGCCAGACTCGATCGAATGCCTTGGAGATATCAAGTGCCTAAGGTTTCACCATATTTTTCAATACATTGCTGCCATATATGTGAGACGTAAGCGAGCAGGTCACCAGTTAATCTCTGATGACGGAAGCCACATTGCCTATCGTTGATGATACCTGAATGTTCCAGGTATTTCATGAGCTCGATGTTGATAGCTACACATAATACACACCTTTTATGATGAAATGAATGACATTTTCGAAGAAAGCATTTCATAATATCAACCGGACTTCCTTGGATATCTCACTGAGTTATTCTGAACGTCTTGTTCGGCAAATTTAACGGTAACGTTCCTTACACTCATATCTGGTGTCATAAACCAATGCTGTTTCTTAGGAATAATGAAACTAATTTATTGAAATTAAACACATTTATCCATATAATGTTTTATTAATTCACATGATGTATGAGAGTTTTGAAGAAAACATTCAATAAAATCTATCCGACTTCCTTGATTAACTCACTGAGTTCTTCTGAACGTCTTGTTCTCGAACCTAACGGTAACGTCCCTCACCCTCATGTTTGGTGTCAGGAATTGGGCCAGGGTGTCAACACCATCCCTTGGTTGTCTATCAAAGGGATACCCCATGGAGCGACGATCGGGGTACAACCTGTCTTTGATTCCGCAGTAACTGTCGGCATCGTTACAGATGCCTTCTGTGGATTGGTCCACCTGGAGATCAAGAATATCATGAAGGTCTGTTCTCTAACACTATTTTAGGAATTGAATGTTCCACAACGTCGAATTGTTCCAGAACGGAGGCGTAGTGTGTCAAGCTTACACCTGTAGACCGTAGACATTGTACTTTAACACATTGTTCATTTCAAAAGAGTTCAATTTTCTATTCTGAGTTTGTAGAAAACTCCATGCACACCAGGAAATTTAACCAAACAAGATATTTTCGGGTGAGAAGTTTTCTAATTGACACACATTTTTCGGAAACACCTCAACAGAAAATTATAAACTAGGGTACCGTTGGAAAGAGAATTGAACGCCCTTCGAATTGCTAAAGGGCTATAGTATACAGTGGAATATTTAAAAATTTTATAATGAACAAAAACAAAATGGTGGATTCTACCAAAGTAATGTCATTTACAAAAACCGCTGGAGAAAAAGAAAATCAGATTTTTTCCAACCTGTACCGATGTCATCTTAGGCTATTCATTTCTGAAGAGAATGAGTACTGGAACATCGAAATCGAACAAATAGTCCAGTAGATAAACTCATTTCTTTGTAATTTGTTATGGAGTGAATGTGCGAATCTCGTATAAACGATTATTATTATTTTGCTTCAGGCTTCATGAAAATTCAATCGAATTTGGATTTCTTAGAGTTATTTCAAAGATAAAGAACTGTGGTACACAATGGATTATTTGAAAATCCAATAATTGAAAGAAACAAAATGGTGGAGAATCCAGAATTCTTGTGATTTTCAAAAATCTCTGGCGGATAAAAAAATGTTTATTCTTCCAATCAGGACCGATACAATTTTAGATTGCAAAAAAATGGAACATCCCTAATTTGAGTGATTTTCAAAAACCGCTAGCGAATAGAAAAATGTCAATATTTCAATTCAGAACCGGATTAATTCCATATCCTTAATTTCTAAAGAGAATGAGAACTTGAACATCTGAATTCAACAAATAGTCCAGCACTTTTTTGCAATGTTATGGAGTGAACGTGCCGAAAAACGAACTTCTAAAAATATTTTTCCATCTGATTACAACATACTAACAGCAACAACAACATAACATAATTCATTATTTAAATTTATAGGATGGTACTCCTGTGCATACGGCACGCGCAACTATTGAGATTATCTCAATAACAAAGTTCCTCATCTAATCGAACCAACAATGTGGCCTCCAAATAATCCGGACTTGAAATCTGTAGATTATAATGTCTGGGGTACCTTACAGGAACGGGTATTTACAAATGAAAGAAACTTCGAGAACTTGGGAGATTTGAAGCAAATAATTGATTATTGCGTGGAAAATGGGATGCTTGAGTTTGAAATAGCCCGGTCGATACAGAGCTCAAGAGCTGGCTCAGTTTCGTAGTTGAAGCAAAAGGTAGACACATTCAGGTCATTTCAAAATTCGTTAAGTTTTGACTACCACTAGTATAAAGTTTTATATATTTTCAGGGTTTCACGCAATCTTCATGGACTTACATCTCGATGTCAATATCAACATTTTCCTATTTGCTAGCGGTTATTGTAAATCACGAAAGTTAGGGTTACTCCACCGTTTCGTTTTTTTTTTCACTTATGAGATTTTCAGATGTTTCACTGTGCACTACAGCTATTCAGCTTTGGAATAGCAGTAAGAAATCCAAATTCGATTGAATTCTGATAAATCCAGAAGCAAACTAAAAGTATTTCTTATCACGGGATTGGCACATTCACTTCATAACACTTCGCCAAGAAGAACGTGTTTCTCCTGGACTAATTGTTCGATTCAGATGTTCGAGTGCACATTCTTTTAAGAAATCAATGATCTAAAATTGTATCGGTCCTAATTGGAATAATATACATTTTTTCATTCGCCAGAGATTTTTGAAAATCACAAAAATTCTGGATACTCCACCATTTTGTTTCTTTCAATTATTGGATTTTCAAATGTTCCATTGTGTACTACGGTTCTTTATCTTTGAAATAACTCTAAGAAGTCCAAATTCGATTGAATTTTCATGAAGCCTGAAGCAAAATAATAATAATCGTTTATACGAGATTAGCACATTCACTCCATAACAAATTGCAGAGAAATGAGTGTATCTACTGGACTATTTATTCGATTTCGATGTTCGAGTACTCATTCTCTTCAGGAATGAATAGCCTAAGATGACATCGGTACAGGTTGGAAAAAATATGATTTCCTTTTTCTCCAGCGGTTTTTGTAAATGATAATATTTTGGTAGAATCCGCCATTTTGTTTTTGTTCATTATGAAATTTTCGAATTTTCCACTGTATACTTTAGCCCTTTAGCTATGAAACGACGCCAAGGAATTGGAATACGGTTGAGAAATGATGAAACCACGAGGAAAATAAAAACTTCCGGCTTTTTTGTGACCACCCGATATATTATATTACATTATTTTATCAAATTAATAATTACTAATGGTTTCATTCGTTATTCATCTCACTCTGGAGCCAGATGATCTCATCCAGAGTATCATCATGCCTGGTATCATTCAAATTCTTATAAGAATCATTATATATACAAGGTGACTTGAGAAATGCAATCATTGAAACATTGTAACCTTAATGAAAAACACCCCTCATGAAAACTTGTTTTGAATATTGATATAGGAGTATTTGTGACCAGTCCGAATCGATTGCAATCATCGAATTTTTTGAAAAAAATACCTCATGCGTTTTCTTCAATTATGCTGAAGTATTTGTGATCGCAGTTGGCCAAGAAATAGTGTTCAATAATTTTGTTTTCTCGACAGAAGTATAGATAATTTTGAGTAATATAATATGAGGTAAAAAATGAGAAAAAAAATCCGAATCGCATAAGGAATACGGAAATACAGGGGTGGGGTGGATCACATTGTAACACACTGTATATGAAATTCAAATGAATGAATTAATTGAAGAATCATTCATTATTCATACACAATCTGGTGAGAAATTTTGTTACCGAATACCACATGAGGTTAAATTATTTCCGAAAATGCATCAACCTCTATTGGTATTACGATTGAAAGTTCAAGATAAAGTGTGTCGTTTGAAAGAATTAATAAAAAGAATCCTGATTGGCGATGAATCAAGAGTTTCGCATGTTTCACATCATGAACTAATTAAAGTGCTTCGTTTATTTGTAATTTTATTAGTTTGCTGTCAAAGAAATATTTTTGCTTTATCAAATGGCGTGAAAATATCTACAGGGTTTTATTCAAAACAATCTACCCATAGTTTTATTTCCGGTAGAACCGGAAGCGATATTCAATTGTTAATTACATAAAAAACAACTGAATGATGCTTTGGCCACCAATGATCTCGTTGTCACCTGGTATATTTTTCATTTCATGCATCGAGTTCATCAGAATAGTTAATTATTCTAACAAAAGATGTCTAGTTTTTTTATGAAAAAAATGTTAATCTTCTGGGAAATTATGCAACAGCGAAATATAACGGGTCATGCGGAAATTTCAACAACAGAATACTTTAATATCTCCATGTTGCATCCAGACATGCTCTGAGGCGAAAAATATACAGATAGAATTTGCTCATGTTAAAAGTACCTGTTTCAACACGTTAGGCAACTCCAGATGAAATAATGAATATACGACTATATAAGTAATTAGAATTTTCTACTATTAGCTTCCAGTGGACAATAGTACAGCTATACCAAAAGAGTGTCAACAAAAAGTCTCCCAATAATGACATGAAAGTTGAAGATCAATCATTGATTACTTGATGTTTCTTATCACCTACTATATCTTCAATTGTCATATTGTAAATAATTCAGTTGTTCTGTCAATAAAAATAAACTTGTCAGTTTATTTGGAACTCTTTCCTTTTTATGTTATTTCACTGCATTTACAACTGGTTATGGGCCCAGCACGCTTCCACCCGAAAAATCCTTTGTGTATACAAAAACCGGCAAAGAGATAGAAGGATATGTTGATGCCGACTGGGCTAATGACGAAGATGACAGGAAATCATATACTGGGTATGTCTTCAAATATGGCGGAGGTTCCATTTCTTGGGAATCAAGAAAACAAAGAACTGTTGCAGTTTCAAGTACTGAAGCCAAGTATATGGGTTTGACGGAAGCAGCCAAGGAAGCGACATATTGGAGAAATTTGTTCGACGAAATAATTACTCAGAAATTGACTATCACAATATTCAATGACAACCAAGGTGCGCAGAAGTTGGCACTCAATCCAGTATATCATAAAAGAACAAAACATATCGACATCAAACACCATTTCATTAGAGAAGCAGTTTGCAAGAACATTGTCTGCTTAAAATACTTGTGTACGGAAGATATGCCAGCGGATATTTTAACCAAAGGGCTTGATGCTTCCAAACACTTGTTTTGTGTTAATGGTTTGGGAATTAAGTATCAAGATTGAGGGAGGGTGTTGAAGATCAATCATTGATTACTTGATGTTTTTTTATCACCTACTATATCTTCAATTGTCATATTGTAAATAATTCAGTTGTTCTGTCAATGAGAATAAACTTGTCAGTATATTTGGAACTCTTTCCTTTTTATGTGATTTCACTGCATTTACAACTATAAAGACTCACACCAGCTCTCAATATTTGTTAGTGAGCCACGATATTATAGCCCAAGGTCGATAATTTTTGAAACTGAAGAAAATCATAGTAGAATGAAACTTATCGTAAAAAAAAGATAAAACAAATAACGGTCGATCTAAGGTCGGGCAGTGGAAGGGGTGAGCTTTCAAGTGTAAAAAATGGTTGATCTCCTATTGAAACGATTTATAACTCTTGTGTGTACTTTTTTTTCACATAACCTCAAAATTGATGTGAAAAATCCGAATAACCAAGTTTTTGGTTTTTAATGTTCATCTTTTACAAAATCAAAAAAAAAATCCGCGAAATTTGGTGGAAACTCACCTCTTTATGTGTCAAATACTGTGTGATTTCTTTGATTTGAAATATTCCTTTCTCCACCTTTTTTTTGACTTTTTGTTCATTGGAATCTCTGCTTTCTGATGGTGTAAAAAATATATACATTGATAGGCTGAATGTTCTCAGAAAATGCATAGGAACAAATCTCGAATCCGATTTTTATTTTATTCATTATGTACATACAATTTTGAGAATTTATTTGAAATTAGCACTAATTACATGAGAAAAGGTAAGATTCCATGTCATATTGATAAACAAAAAAAATTTCAAATCCATTGATATTGTGAAAAACATGCGAAGAAAGTTGTTCTAAACAATGAAGGGGATTTCATCTAGAAAATGTGACGGCTGCTTTTTTGTTTCATTGCATTATATGAGAACATTTATCACAGTAATATAAATTTTTTTCACACCATCAGGAAGTTGAGGTTTCAACGAACAAATGGCTCATCTATTTTTCTGAAAAAACAGATATTTTGACGCAAGAATCTCCGATTGAAAAGTAGGGTGCTTTTTCGATATTAGGTCAAAACAAACCTATAATGTAACTACTCAAGTCTTTGAAGTTGATGATTCATTCATGTTCGTCAATTTAATTCTTGTAGGTCTTCTCTATATATTTAGTTTATAGTATTTTTCCAATCTCCAGGTGCTCCTGGAGATGTAGAATAACTCGTTCATCAATCAATCGCCAAAATGGGATGGGAAAAATATTCTTGAAGAAAAAACATGTTAGTCAGTCTCGTCATGAGATTGAACGTTCCAGAGATCTCAATCAGATCTGAATGCGATAAGTATCACGTTTCCGCAGTTTTCGACCGAGATTGAAACAGATTATTCAGTGAAACTTTAAATTGACAAAGTTTGTTGGACGAATAAATCTAGTTACATTGCGCTAACTATTCCCGAAAAGCAAGAACGTTTCGAAGTATTTCCAATTATCTGGAACCACAATGGTAGTATTCAATATCTTGATTAAGTATGAAGTGTCAAACTGGAATATCGATTCATCATGGAGAACGAGTAATATAATGAATATTTATACCAACCAATTCCAGCACACTTCAGTGATGAATATTTGATAAATAAATAAGCCACCGTAGAATGGGGTCAACTGAAACAGTTTTCGACTTTTCAGACTGTGTTGCTGAGTGGATATTCAAATAATTTTTAGAGAGAAATATGAAAAATATGTGTCACGGTCATGAGAAGAGGGGGCATATACAGAGTTTCGAGAAATTCCACAGTTTTTTTTTTTTCAAAAAATTTAAATGGGGTGATTTTCAATCCCCCTTTCAGGCGGGGTGAAGAGAAACGGTAAATGTTATAGCACTTTATTCGCTTGTGAACAATCTGAGAGGTGAATGGAAACAACTTCATTGGATAAATGGATTTGTAGACAGCTCAAATTTTGAAAAAATAGAAACTATAACAAAAAATGGGGTGGATAGAAATTCACAAAGAAATAAAAATATATGTGATAACATCTACTTGAGATATAAGAATTTTGAATGCAATTATGTTAAGGTATGACTTGTGGTGGAAAACCAGATTGAAACAAGATTCTTCCACACGATGTGTCTATCTGAGTAGGCTAAATCAAGAGTTTGAAGTCAGCGCCATAATGAGAAAACCTTCAGAATCTCCATCTATATACCCGGTGATTTTTCTAGGTGGATCACCCATATAACTTTTTTATCATTGAAGATGGAATAATCTACTTGCCTTGCCGCCCTTCCGGTTTTACCAGAAATGAGCCAAACTTCTGCTTGTCAAATGGGACACCCTGTATATCCTTACCTATTTCGATCAAAAATGGCATTCGGAATCCTTCGATATCTCACTTGTCACTGTTTGACAAACGACGTAATTTTCATTTCAATTTTTATTTTTGATCTAGGATGCCATGGATCGTGTAAATCGCTAGATGAAATAAAAATGACTTGCGTATTGTTGGATTCAGAATGCCCTACTCGATCATAATGAGTACAAACATACAGGATGACCCATTTGAGAATCAAAAGTTGGGCTCATTTCCGGTTAAGCCAGAAGTACGGAAAGGCAAGTAAATTTGCAAAAAAATTCAACTTGACAACCCTCAAATTTTCTTTTTTCGTCTTCAATAATAAAAAAATATAGGGCTACACAGTAACAGTGAAGTCCTTTCTTTGAAAAGAAGGAGGTTCTCAGTTCGAACTGGGTGGCTCGTGATTGTATTTATCCTGTTATGCATATATATTTAACGAAGGAGCAATCTGTGTGGATATTTTTAGATATCAAATGTTTCGAAATTCCAGTTGAATCATCTTGATAATCAATAATAATAATAATTGAATGAATATGGGCCAGTCGCCTTCGCCATAAGTTCCATTCGCTTGTAAATTTTGGTGGCAGCGTTCATCATTTTCTGAATTCTCGTAAGAGAAAACAGTCTACAACACGTTTGGAATGGATTATTCCATATGTACTCATTGTAGAATATACCTACTACTCTAGCTATCTGTATTCTTTGAGAAGGAAAAACTAGGCTTTCGAACTGAATAAATTCATGTTCAGCGAAACTATCTATTTTTGAGGAATCTCCTGGAACAAGTCGATTTTTTCCAATTCCCAACATTTGAAGGGGAAATTGAAGTTACAGGATGATCCACGTTTGGGTCATGACGTCCGCGACAATTTTTTCAAATGGAACACCCTATATATCATTGAATTTTTTGAATTTCCATGAAAAGCTGAATTCAGAAATATATCACACATAGCACTTTTATACACTGCGTCCGTAAAATTGAATGCTCTCGTGAAGTAGTGGATACAATAATTGTTAGCCTAACTACTCATATCTGAGAAATCTCCTGAAACAGAACGATTCTTATTTTCAATATCCCACATTTCAAAAAAAAATTGAATTCACAATGTGTATATAGCCACATTTCGTAACCTTCATTGTATCGTATTATCAATTTTATATGATTATGCAATTTGCAACTGTTCATCAATTGGGATTACATCTTTTTATTTTCTCCCATAACATAATTCTGAAACATCGAATAGCATTCCTCATAAATTGGTGACCCCGACGTTCAAATATGACTGTAAATCAAGAGGAATTGATCGCAGAAGTTTCAGTGGTCATGGATTCCGAACTTCCTGAGTTCTGGCCTAAATATCCTCTGATCTGGTTTGCCCAAATCGAAGCTATGTTCGCAACTAGGAAAATTGCAGCCGACAGAAGGATCACCAGAATAAGCGAAGGAAGTCCGTGATATTTTACTGAATCCGCCGACAGAAAATGCTTGATATAATAATATGTCAAATTTAAAAACGCTATATTGGAAAGAACGTCACTTTTCGATAGAAAACGGATTCAAAAACTTTCATCCATTAAAGAATCAGGAGATAGAACAACATCTCAGCTAGTAAAAAAAAATGCAACAACTCCTCGGTAATCACAAGCAGCTGTAGCCGATAAAATTATGGAAATAACTCCTACATTATCCCCAGGAAACAATGAATATCTTGGTTTGAATTCTGTACTGAAGAAACCTTGTCCCTGTCATGCTGATATTTCTCAGTTATCAAAAGGAATTGCTAACTTACGTGAACTGATAGAATCCTCACAATTACCAAGACCACAAAAACCCTCAAATAGGACTATTCCAAGAAGTAGATCACCTTCTGTATCAAGTGATTACTCTTATTACCAAAAATGGTTCGGAAATCAAGCTCGTAAATGTATCTCTCCTTGCAAATGGATGTCGGAAAACTAAATTTCTAGCAATTGAATGCGGCTAGCATTGCTGGTGTACCTGGCCGTCTTTTATTTGTTTAGGGCATGGTATCTTGAGATGTTTGATAGATACTGGTAGCAAAATTGGTGCTCTTCCAGCAAAATTTCTCGTCAATGAACAAACATCGGATTTCACACTTCAAGCAGCAAATAATAGTAGGAAAAAAACCTACGGCTGTCGTTCAATGACTATAGATTTAGAATTGAAACGAATTTTCAAGTGGATTTTCATAATTGCTGATGTGGAATATCCTATCCTCAGTATCGATTTCTCACAACATTTCAAATTACTCATTGACAGTTCCTGAAATGTTTTGTTGGATGGTCTTCACTTGTATGATGTCAGATTTTCCGTTATACCATCTTTTCTATCTACAGAGTGATTCAAATTGCAAATTTCAAACCATTCTTGAAGGGTTTCTATCTCTAACTCAAAATAACCTCAATTACTTCATGTTAATCATGATATCACGCAATGCATCGAAACAGCTGGTCCCCCAGTTCCTGATCGAGCACGAATATTAGCGCCTGAGAAATTGAAAATCGTATTATTCATTGTTTCCTGGTGATCATATAAAATTGATAATACAATAGTGAAGGTTACAAAATGTGGCTACATATATTTTTTTTTGAGGGAGGAGTATGAAGCCACATTTTGTAACCTTCAGTATTGTATTGTCAATTTTATATTATTACTAGGGAACAATGAATAATAAACAATGTTCAACTGTTCATCAACTTGGATTATATCTTTCTATTTTCTCCCATAAGATAGTTCTGAAACATTGAATAGAATTCCTTGTAAGTATAACATTTCAGTTATGAAGTCCGAACGAAAACAAAACTTATCTTTCACTCACCCTATCATCGGCATAGTTGGAAATCATCACGAACAACTGACAAGCGTATCCTTCGGCGGTGCCAATGGGAATCAGCAGATTATGAGGCCATCCACAACCGCAAAAGCTCGATTGGTCTTGTTCTTCGTCAGCAATGTTGGAAAGATCCCTGTAGGTCCTTTCGAAGGGAATCGTGACCGAAGACTGAGTGGATGAGCGTATTATGTCGTTACGTCCTTGTTGTACTGGAATTGCGATAACATAATTATTGGTATACGAAACACTAGACTCAGCAACCATCATAAATCTTATTCTGAATTCATATCTGCTAATTCTGAGTCTCATGAACTGTCAATGGATGGGGGTGTTCCACAAGGATCTGTTTTAGGACCAATACTGTATCTGCTTTATATTCTAAATATCACGAAAGTTGGTTGAGCGAGTAATTATACCATATATGCAGACGATACAGTGAAAACAAGAATCCTCTAATTTTAGAAACTGTGATAAATAACGATCTGGTATTATTCGAAAATTGGCTCCACTCTAACCTTTTATCAATGAATACCAGAAAATCTGAATACATGATTTTTCAACAAAAAAATAAATAGAAAATTTAGCTCAATCTTCAAATGAAGAATGAATTCTTGAAACAAACTGAACAGATAAAGTATCAAGGTATTTGGTTTGATGAAAAATTGAAGTGGGACAAACATATTGAGGTTCTGACATAGAAAATATCTGCCATATTTTGTTGCATTGAGAAGACGTCCCGAACCCAATATGAAAATTGCAAATATAGTACTCTATTCACATATAAGTCGAATCAACTATTTAATAAATGTTTGGGGATCTTGTTCTGAAAATAATTTTATTAAATATCAACATTATATAGGAAATCATTAGGAGTACTGTATTGTCTTCCATTTTATGATACTCCAACAATTGAATTGTATGCTCTAACAAAAGCATATTCTTTAGAAGAACTGTACAAATTAGAGACTCTGAAAATTTCATACAATATCATAAATGGAAATTGAAATCTAATATCATTTTGAGAAGAAATCTTGAAATTCATAGTCATCAAACTAGACAATATAACTTAATCCACCTTGATGCTGCTAGTTCTACACTCAGAGAAAAAAGATCCACTCATGCAGCGATATCTGAGTTCAATAAACTACCAGATGGAATTGAAAACTGCATCTGATCAGAAATCCTAAAGTTGAAAAATCTTGATTTTGAACACCCTTTATCCCTGAAATCATTCCAGCTAGACCCCAAGTGTGATATGAAATCAGCTCTTCGGAGAGAATCTAAAAATGCAATGAAATACATAAAGAATTTGCATTCTCTTTGTGATGAAAATATCAATCCTTTCTCGGTTTATTCAACAGAAAACAACTACTTTCCTGGCTATATGCCACGACAAACATTGAATTACATCTATAGAGCATACACGATAAAAATTTGAAAACAAAATCTTCTGAAGTAGAGAATTTGCATTCTCCTTCATATATTATAATTTCATATCATGACACATCATATTATTTCATCCGATTTGAGAGATGAAGTCAATTCTCAAATCCAGAGGATTTTCGTTTTTCATGCTCTCTTTTTGGATGTCCAACAGATATAATGCAATGTTCGACGTGGCAAATAGCCAGGAAAATAGTTGTTTTCTGTTGAATATTCGGAATGATGTTATGTGCATATCTTTATATAAAGGAGGATGTAAATTCTCAACTTCAGAAGATTTTATTTTCAAATTCTTATCGTATGTGTTCAATAGATATAATTCAATGTTCATCGTGGCATATAGCCAAGAAAGTGGTTGTTTTCTGTTGAATATTCAGAATGATATTATCTGCATATAAATATTTTCATCTGAAGGAGAATGCAAATTCTCAACTTCAGAAGATTTTGTTTTCAAATTCTCATCGTGTGTGTTCAATAGATATAATTCAATGTTCGTCGTGGCATATAGCCAGGAAAGTAATTGGACCCTGTTGAATAAACCAAGAAAGAATTGAAATTTCCATCACATAGAGATTGCGATTTCTCGATATATTTCTTTATATATCCACTTTTTATGTTCATAATTTTATCTGAGAATATTCATTCCCAATACTTTCACCCAATCAAGGGGTTTGCACTTGATTGATGTTATTTCCATAGACCTTCAATCGCAGATTCGTGATTAGGTTTCCTCAATTCAGAAGATCCAAAAAGTAATTTTTCAGTCTTGTTCGTGTAAAAATTCAACTAATTTGTTTGTTAGGGATCCAAAATAGGTTCAATAATTGATGTCAGGTTAGGTTAGGTTTTATGACTATGGCCTTTAAGTATTCACAGTAGTCAAAGACGATTGATGATCTCAAACATCAAACTATCTCGATAATTAATTGCCCTCACCAATACACCAGTTGATTATTCAGTATCACCAATATTATATCCTGTATTGTCGCATTTTTTTACTCCATAAAAAAATACGGAATGCGCCAAAACCAAGTAGGTATACCAACTCACAATTCACAGTAAACTTATCCAGCTCGATGAACATATTCTTCTGGTCCCTGAACAGCCACGGGTTGCCTCGCTCGTCCACCTTGGGCGCCATGAATATCCTGCAGGTCCCTCTCCGGTTCTCCCCGGACCCGTTGTTCACCGTGATCCGGTACTCGAATTCGGCGTGCTGCAGATGAGTGAAGCGCACGAAGACGTTGCCGCGAGTCTGGAAGTCCAGCCCGTGCGAGATGTTGACGTCAGACTGCTGCCAGAAGGTGCTGAGCACGTTGGCGTCGCGACCCTGCGTACGCACCTGGATGTCTTGGACTTGTATTCCGGGGTAGTTCAACTGGAAAACATCAATATATCGATGGAGTGCTGCCAAATAGAAACGATGGAAATAATGGGTTGAATAAATACAATAAGCTCAAAGTCATTTCTACACAATGTTCATAAAATGAACAACAATGTACTGATGGATATCGATATGGTATCCTTCGATACGGTATGGCATGAAGGTTCAATATCCAAGATGGCTAAGGCAGGGCTGTCGATATTGTTAGTCCATAGGAAGATAAAAGTCAAAATCAATAATATACAATTTCAACAAGTCAGCCACTCGAGGCAGGTGTTCCACAGGGGTCGTGTTTGTCACCCTTGCTGTAACCAACAGTACTATACACGGGCCTTTGCTTGTCAAAGGCGCAAGGGTGACGGTCAAAACCTCAGTGAAATACCTGTGAGTAATGCCGGACAAGCGTATGTGCTTCAGAGATAACATCACCAAATTAATTGGTGAAGGCCATGCAGCCATAAGACAATTGTATCCATTGTTGGTCAGGAATTAGACCTGTGATTACATCTGCTTGTCTGGTGTTCTATAGTGCCCCCGCCACTCAACTGAATAGGCTACAGGTGCTACAGAACAAGGTACTCCGAATCATTATACTAACGGTAATAGATACACTCGAGTGGCTGACATGCAATAAAAAGTATAATCAGCAAATCATTGTCGATGTTTGGCCCTGATTACTGATATATCGATCGAAACCTGTATTTCTGATCAATCTCAGAATTTGGTTACTATATTCATTGAATATTATATTGAAGAATCGATAATGGAAGAGATTGTCTACTTATAGACCAATTGACATTGGTATCAACAAAAGAAACATGAAAAATCATGGATTATACATTCACATGAAGTGGTTAATATAATAACAAACAGGCTGTTAACAAAATAGTGAGCGACATGGAAATATACACACTAATAGATTATACAGAATTCATCAATCTAGTTCATTTTTTATACTTTTTTATAATTAATGGTATCGTCAGAGGATATCCTTGATCACTGAGAAATTTCCTTGTGATACTCATTGATACTCATTGACAAAATTTTCGCCCCAATTCTGAATTTGTTTTGGGCAGTTGCCCCTCTAGGCTTGTGGTTAATACGGCCCTAGGAAAACATCAATATAGTGTAATCTTTGGTAGAAGTCCATATTGCTCAAGTGCTGCTGCTGTGGTTTCCCTCAATATTTCCATGTTTTCTTCTATTATTAACGAACCAGACTGTCAACTTTCGAAAAAGTATCAGGTTGTCTTTGAATGAAATTGCGAAAGAAGGTTCTTCCATCATCGAATCCATGTCAAAAAAAGTAGACAAGTAGATGAAAGAACTAGTGGCGTACGCGAATGTTCCTTCAAGACGATCTACTAGAAGAATGAGGAATACATAATTCTGGTCGTTTTAGTGGTTTTTCATATGTATATTGTATAATTGATTGATGTTTCAAATTCAGTGGAATAAGTAGTTATGGTGACAATTATTGTCATTAATTATAAATCGAATACTGGAACCTTTGGCACGATAATCACACTACGCTAACCAAACCGATTTTTCAAACGCCTCGACTCGTGTTTTGCTAACTATGTTATCGTCATCAGGGAAAGATGAAGCTAAACTTAACTGCATCAATATTCGAAACAGAACCTACTTTGCTTTTGCAAAAATCCACAGTATTGAGTATTTTCGAGTGAAGCATGAGATCGAAAAATGAGTATGTTGGATGAATATTTCTAAAAGGGCTAAAACATTTATTGCTTACTCATCAAATGAATCAGAAGTTCTTCTTGATCTAACCGATGTGAACTAGAAATGATAATAATAGGCGTATAAGCCTGGTCTCTGAGACAAACAACACAGACAGAGTTTCCAATATAGGAACTGCTGAACAAATATTCTGCATGCAAGCATCATCGGAAATAAGTAAGTTGATGATCTTGAAATCCATTAAGATCGGAATTCCTTATAATAGTCAATGCCGTTATCTTTTGTCCCTTTCATCCGGAGAAACATCTGCAACTTCAGTTCGATAAACAAGTAAGGTTTTATGTCAACGTGAATTAGAATGTAGTTACTACAAGAGGATAACCGACAATGAGATCCCTTCAAATCGTTACCTGATTTTCAGCATATCTCGGTAGTGTAGCCTTGAATCTATGGAACAAATCATCGATGAATGCATGCCATCTGTAGAAAATGGGATCTCGCATGGCTGTTGCAACATCTCCCAAAACTGCGTTTTCTTCCTGTGAATGAGAAACCCAATGATTGATGCAACCTATGCACATGAGCGAAACTCACCAGATTTCTGCCATCTGGATCGTGGATGAAAGCGATGATATTATGTCCCATATTATGCAAGTTTCCATACAATTGCCTGTTGATCGAAAGATCTGTTGCTTCTACCATGTTGCCAAGTATGTCGATTCCTCCAAACTCATCTAGTTCGACGTCCCTATTGTTTCTCTATAAAAATAACCAAAGGATATTAGTATTCACTTCAGTGATCACGTAACAAATGTTATATTTCATCTACAATTCAGTGTTTGTTTGTACTTCATATTATCATAACAGTATTCTAATGGAGTAGTATAGTATGAGGTAACATTAAATTCATGGAATCAGGGATTCTGAGATTGTTTCCATGTTTCTAGTATTTGATAGAACATTCATTTCTGGAAATCATCTCTTCCATATATGCTATTTTTCATACGAAGCAGTACTTTTTATCAAGGGATGGCGAATGATTATTCTACAGCAAACATCAACACAGTATTTGCAAACTTCAATTTCACATCAGATTCTTGAGTAGTCATGTTGAAATAAAATATTCATAATAATGGAAGTTACTTTGGGAAACTATGTGACTAGAAGTCACTGTCGAATACTTGCATGGTTGAATAATAATGCTCAGGATTTAGCACTTCGTCCTGATTCACTGCAACCTTTTTAGATCCATTGTGATAATCGTTTGTTTACATCAGAGCAAATAATATAGCATGGAGTTCTTGATGAGACTCTATCAGCCTTGACTGCGGTTCATTACTCATAGCACCGACACTATCCCATTATATTATAATATATTCGAACAAATATAGTTCCTTGTTCCCTGACCTACCAGTTTCTCTCGGATCGCTGATCTCTTTCAGTTTCAACGCGAATCAGACCCAATATACAGGGTGATTGTTTATATTTTACTTAATAGGTATATCAGTTAATATTGGTCTTACAGAGACGTTTAAATTACCAAAAATGACGTTTTTTTTGGGCATTCAGAATAAAAGCATCTTAAACCTAAAAAAAGATGATCTCAATGGAGTATATTTATTTATATTTATATCCTATTTATATTCATAATTTTCTGATTTCGCATTGTCTAGTGATAGATTCTTAATGTCCATGAAAAATTCTCAATTTTTGCCCATTTGAACGTTTCTGTAGGACCAATATAAACTGAGATAGCTACCGAATGAAATATAAACAAGCACCCTGTACATACTTCTGCCATCCCTAAAACTCCAAGTCATAATTCAAAAACTGGTACAAGCAACATACAAATTCATTCTGGCTCACTGTTTTCTTCCTTGTCCATTTAACGTCATCTTTTTCCTGCTACTGAGGCTAATCACCGACGGAATCAGATATCGAAGAGCTAATATTAAAGTCATTCATTGTCTTCACATTATTACAATACATCACAAATATCAATCACATTGCTTCTATTAGGAGTTGGTGCATCTACGTAGTGCCCCTGTGGCCTGTAAGTCCCTCCGCGTAACGCAGAGGTGGCTGGTGTTGGCCAGGGAATGTGAGTGGACTTGCGAAGTGTTCGTAACAGACAACTATCTCCTAGGCTAGGGCTAAGCCCTTTATATAGGTAATCTCGCTGTGGGTACTCAGGGGGGTGGAGGAGTTGCTCATTGGTGATCAGTGCAGGGACTTTTTCCGGTTTATGGCGGAAAAAATAAAATTGTAAAAAACCTCCTTCTTGTTCGGCTCGGACCGATGTACAGCCACGTTTCCTCGTGACCCATGACACTATTTTATTTTCTAGCTTGGCAGATGACGAGTGTTGTCTAGATCCTCCCCAGTGTCTCGGACTTGTTCGAAAATCCGGGAAGATTACCATCATAAGTTTTCAATTTCCCTAAAAACGTCGGTCGATGCATATATCAGCCCGTGTAACGGCTAGTGCCTCACCTGAGAAGCTAGGGCAATGCCCGGGTCACTGTTTTTGTTTTAGGATTATTTCAGACTTCCATTTGACAGAAGACTTCTGAATTATGTTCTTTACTTTTTCAACGTCAGAGGTGTGCAATGGATCTGGTTCGTCGATCACTTTTTTTTAAGTAGGATTCGAAATGTTAGTTTTATATTACTTACATCTTTAACTCGTCCGGAATTGATGGCACCGTAGATCAAATCTCTCCATCTCTTCATATCGTCCACATCGACAAACGAGTTGTCTATTTCCCTTCGGAGGTTCTGCATACGTTGATTGGCTACCCTTGCCGGATACGATCGGCCGGTAACGATTCTGTCCAGTTTCGGAAAGTAAGCCTCTTTCAAGGGACTATCCCAATCGATCAAACGCTCAACACGTTTGAGTTTGTGGCACAATCTCTCTGTGTTGTATCTGTGGCAAAACAAGAATGGAGTTGGAATGGTCGTATTTGTTGGTTGACTAATTACTCAGTGTTTTGTTGAGTGATAGGATTTTGCGAGACCTGCTTTTCGCTTTCCATATAAACTACGCAACACTGATTTCGTCGCACCCCAAAATTTTGCCCCTGTTAAAATATGAATAAATTTTTCCTGCAAGTACTTCAATCCCGTACTCCTTCAAAACATGAGGTTCTTCATATAAAATTGCTATCGGGTGTCACCTGAAACTGTGAAAATTTCGTAATTTTCAAAAGGATCCCAAATGAACAAATTTGTTTTTTTCAACTTTGACAGCATGGGCATGAAGATGATCTTATTATCTTGAGACATTATTCAAATTGTCTTCTCATCTCTTTTATTTACAGAGTAATCTCAAAAATTGACTTTTGGTTCTGCAGTCATAATTTTATTGTTCCTCGCCAACGATTTTCAAAATCTGAAGATCAGAATTGAGTCAAGATGAACATTATACAGTGTGTCTCACTTCTCATAGAAGCAACCCTGAATCTGTCGTAATTGTTGAGTTAGAACCCTGAAATTCGCAGGAGGGGTATATATACTGAATATACACACTATGACCAAGTGGAGTCATGTATACTACACTGCTCGCCAACATCCATGGAACCAGTCACAAAAATGATATTAGGAGGCAAGATACCCCTGGACTGACGATTGAAAAAAGTGACATCAATCACTGTTACATGCTCGGAAAATCAACAAAATCACCTATAATCTTGGAATTTGTGTCGTTCTTCAAAAAGCAAGCACTTTTTGGCAATAAGGATATTCTGAAGGAGTTGAAGTTGAATGGAATTTCAATTGCCAATGACCTGTGCCCAGAAGATCGTGAGGACCAAAAATACCTGGTGAAACACTTGAAAAAAGCAAAGGAGCAGAATTTAGATGCAAAAATCAGAGGTAATAAGCTTATTGTCTCTGATAAAGCTTACACTGTTTCTGATCTCCTAGAAAAAGATAAAGTGGAGCTCAACAGTGACCTTCAATACCTGGAGAATATTGAGATTGAAACTGAGGACGAAGAAAAGGTACCAGAAGAATCAGCTGAGGAAGACAGAAAAGATAACAGTGCAACAGAATCAAGTGGGGAGCAAAAAAAAACCGGAAGAAAAAGAAGACAACTCAAAAGCCCTCCTCATTCTAATAAAACCAAATCCATTTGTATGAAAGGATATAAATAATTCATATTACAGCATTCACGTATTTTTTGTATTATCTTGTCAATAACTAATTATATTTCACTTTGTCACCTGGTTTTTCACCTTTCAAAATGAGGACTAAAGATATATCCATAGCTTTCATGAATGTGAGGAGGTGGTGTTGAGAAGAGATTTTGATATAATTGGTATTTCAGAAACATGGCTCACCCAAATAATATCAAATTTCGATGTTAAAATTGATGGGTACAATTTAGTGAGAAGTGATAGGAATACAAGAGGTGGAGGTGTAGGTCTTTATATCAGATCCACTCTCAAGTACGAAGTTTTAGCCATACAATCGACGGATGACTTGGAACAAGTGTGGGTGAGTTTAAGCATAAATAAAAATAAATATTTGATTGGATCACTGTATCGCCCGCCTGATAGAAATCTCTCAGCTTTTTTGGATTTATTCGAGGATACGGTATCTATTGCAGCATCACTTGATTCTAAAATTATCTGTGGTGGGGATATAAATCTAAACATGCTGGATATAACTAATGAGAAATCTTCTCTTTTTTTGGATTTGCTGGAAACTTACAGCCTGAAGCAAATTGTTACAAAACCTACTAGACTAAATAGATTATTAGATGTTATAATAATATCTGATGAGTTAGAAGAAAAATTAGTAGATAATATTGATATTTCACATTTTTCCGATCATTATCTTGTCTTTTGTAAATTAGCACGGATGAGAACAGAGATAATAGAACAAACAATTAAATTTCGAAATCTGAAAGGAATTGATGCAGCATTTCTTCTTGAACTGTTCAGTCTAACGCCCTTTGATAACATCTTCTTATTTAACGACATCAATGAAAAAGTTTCACACTTCAATCAACTGTTACATACCTTATTCGATATAGTTGCTCCTTTAAAAACTCTGAATTTGAGGAAGCGTAAACCACCTTGGCTCACAGATAACGTAAAACTGATTATGAACTTGCGGAACAAGGCATTGCGGAAATTCAAAAAAAGCAAAAGTGAACATGATATGAACTATTATCGCACCCTTCGTAATCAAACCAATATCATGATAAGAAATGAAAAAAAAGGTTATTTGACTTATTGCATCAATAATAACAGTGTTAAGGATTTATGGAAAAAACTGAAGGATTTGAATATATATAAAAAAAACATGGCTGTCTTACCTGATACATTGAATGATCCGGAAAAAGTGAATGAACAATTTTTAAAACATACTGGTATAAGTACTATGCCTGAACCAGAACTTATCCATTTCTATCAAGATAATATTCTGAAAAACTTTGATGTTCCTTTTAATTTCAAAACAATCACTGAAAATGAAGTTTACAAGTGTTTAAAGTGTTTTTAACCGCCAGCTTAGTTGCAAAGCAACCCTCGAAAGTCAGAGACTTGTGTGAGTTAAGAAGACGGGGACCTTAGCTTTTTAAGTGTCATCCGAAGCACTACTCGGCTGGTAACCGTGGACAGTCCAAAGGATTGATATCTAGGTACCAAGAATGTTGGGTTGGCCACCTATCTCCTCCCGCCCAACGAAACTACCGAAAATTAATTCAGTGCTCGCGCCGGGGATCGAACCCGGACCGCCTGGGCGACAGCCAGCGACTCTACGCTCACGGCCACCAGCCCAGTTTTTACTTGAAATAGAATCTAAAGCTACTGGATCAGATGACATAGGTATTGATCTGCTTTTGTTATGTTGTCCAAGTATACTACTATACTTGACACATATAATTAATACTTGTTTAGTCAATGCTGTAGTTCCTGATGAATGGAAAATTTCTAAGGTTATTCCGTTACCAAAATTATTTGAAAAAATTGTTAATTCTCAAATTAAGGAACATTTGGATTATTTCAGTATCATTCCAATTCAACAATCAGGATTTCGTACGGGTTATAGTACTATTACTACATTACTTGCGGTTACTGATGATATTTTTCGGGAAGCAGATAAAGGAAAAGCAACGGCTTTGGTATTGATCGATTATTCAAAAGCATTTGATACGATCAACCATGAAATTCTTTTGTCAATTTTACATTTCATTGGATTTTCAGAAAGTGCATGTGAACTTATGAGAAATTACTTGTCGAACAGAAAACAATATGTTGAAACCGTAGTTGGACGCTCCATGATGTCTGATATAAATAGAGGGGTTCCACAAGGCTCGATTCTTGGTCCCCTGTTATTTTGTATTTATGTATGCCATATCACTAACGATTTAAGAAACTGTAAAATATACCAATATGCAGACGATACTCAACTCCACTTCTCTTTCGACCCGAAAGAAATTGACTCAGCTAATAGAATCATCAATAATGAGATCAACAAACTTGTAAAAAACTCACAAATACATGACCTCCAGATCAACTCATCTAAATCCTCGATAATGGTATTTGGCAAAGATCGTAATATTGTTGAAAGAAATTCAGCTATATACATTAACAATTGCCGTCTTTCCTGTTCTCAGTCCACAAAGAACTTGGGTGTTGAAATTGATACTGAATTGAGATTTCGTAAGCATGTGAATAAGTGTATGCAAAGAGCGTTTTTCAATCTTAAATTATTATATCCTCATAGACAACTTCTGAATACACAACAAAAAATCAAATTATGTGACTCACTTGTGCTTTCTTATTTCAATTATGCAGATATTTTATATGGCCCATGTATAACTGTAACTGAACAGAATCGAATTGAGCGTATGCAAAGATCGTGTTTGAGATTCATTTTTGGTGTTAGAAAGTTTCAACGCATATCTCACAAATTGAAAGAAGCAAAATGGCTGAACATGTCCAACAGACGGAAACTTCACTCAGTAACACTTTTTCAAAAGATCATACGTGATAAATGTCCTCCGTATCTCTACAATAAAATACAATTCAGGACTGATGTGCACTCTCTCAATTTGAGATATAAAGGCCTCATCTCACCTCCAAAACATAAAACAGCTTTCTTCCGCAGGTCTTACAGTTACAACATTTACGCGCTCTACAATGATGTCCCTAGCAATTTCAAACGTTTCAGTAAAAGTAATTTTAAATATAAATATAAACAACACCTCCTTGAACAATCTTGAACAATTTTGATGCAAAATTTGATCAATCTATTCTTATATATTTTGTATACCTATCTATCATCTATATGTGTTTCTATCATATAATAGGGTTGTGATTTATTATTACCTTAGTTTGTATATTAATCTAAAATCATGAATTGCACTTTTTTTTTTTTCTCGAGGCAACTACTTAGACCAGCAAGCTTTCGAGCAATGTTGTTAGTGGTCTCTTTTGTGGTTCATAACATTATTGTATTTTCATGTCCTTTATATATTTATATTTTCTTTTATAATTTGAACTGCAAATAAACTATTATTATTATTATTATTATTATATGTTGAAAACCACTTCGGATTCAAAATTAGCACGTCCAATTCACACTTTTTATATTGTTCCTGGAAAACATGCAGTTCTGAAAAATTAAATTGTGTCCTAATTTTTATGGATGCACTCCTTCATTTTACGTAGTTGACTTTATCTTTGTACTTTCTCTTTCTCCTGCAAATTTCAGAACCCTATCCATATCAATAATAACGTTAGATACGGTGGTGCTTCCATGAAAAATAAGACAACCCTCAATTTTTCAGAACTGAAATTCTTCCAAGAAAAGTATGTATATTGTATAGTTGGTAAATTGGGCGTCCTGATTTCGAATTCGATGTGATTTTCAACCTATCTTGGCTCCTAATATAATTTTCCAGAACTGTGGGAGGTTCCATGGCTGTCGGCGAGCAGTGTATATCACTGGAGATGACTCCACTCGACCATATTTCGTATTTCCAGTGTATCTACCGCTTCTGCAAATTTCAGAATCCTAACTCAACAAATACAAAACATAAAGGGGAGCTTCCATTAGAAGTGAGACATACTGTATAATGTTCATCTTGAGTCAATTCCGATCTCCATATCTCTTCATCTGAAGTTTCAGCTTCAAAATGATCCTGATACCTAAAAAATCGCTCAACAAGGAAAAAAACCAAAGTTATTTTTTTTAGATCACTCTGTAAATAAAAGAGATCAGAAGAAAAATTTAAAATGTCCCAAGGGGATGAGAACATCTTCATGCATCTGCTGTCAAAGTTAAAAAAAAAGTTTCTGTTCATTTGGGATCTTTTTGAAAATTTCGAAATTTTTCAGTTTCAGATGACGCCCTGTAGCGAGTTTATGTGAAGAACCTAAGAAGTTATTCATTTTTTAACAGTGGCAACAATTTAAGCTGCGTCGAAATCAGTGTTGCGTAGTTTTTATGTGTTACTTACTTCGTGTTCAGAATATACTAGCTTTTTTGCAGCCTCAGACCACGTCAGTTAAGTTAAGTTAAGTTAAAATACATAAGTATTACGCTTTTCCACCATACACACGGCTCCAACCAAAGACCTGTATGCATATATCGAGAAGTATACAATACCTAGTAGCATTATGTCATTTCATATTGCAACTAGTGGTAATATTAAATGTCAAATCGTATCTATGTTCCATGAGTACGATTTTAACATTTGGAATGTGAATTAAAACTGGACAAATTGAAATCATATTACAAAAAGGGTCCTTATCCCACGCAGAAAAGTTGAATTGGTGTATTTTTTTATATTGTTTGAAGGGAATTCGATTATAGGCTTCTGGTGGAGACGGAATCGTCTTCGATGAAATTTACTTATAATTATTGACAAAACCCTGCTAACTCGTAGAAGATATTCTCAGTTTGTTTGTGTGATAGCAAATTCCAATCATATTCACCTCGCTATGATTTGCTGATGCATATAGTAAAACAGCTCTCCTCTTCTATTTTTATTCACCACTTCAGGTGCTCCAGTGGTCGGGTATACCAGATGCCAATGCCAGTGATGGAGATTGACGCCGATATCTTCTCTGAAGTAGGCTAGACGATGTTCTTCTTCCAAGTCCGAGGCCGTGTAGTCTTTCGGTATTTCAACTGGATTCTGAAATGAAAAGTTAAGCATTCATTTCTTTATTTCTTGCGCTCCTGAAAAAACTTTTAGAATGCCAAGAAAAAAGTTACAATATCCTTTTGATGTAATAGTTATTCATTATACAAGCATACAAAGTATTAAATTTCAGCACAAAGTTATGTGGCAAATTGAAATTTAAAATCGACTTGTCTCAAAAAATTCTTCAGTATTGACAATATTGAGTGGAATGTATCATACACGTTTATATTATACCTTTATACCTATAGATACCTACACAAATCTTTCAGCTTCTTTGAGATACACTTCCACACAGAAAACATTATAGAGTGTGTTCCTGCATCTAGCATGTATAATATCTATATTAAGGAATTTAATACTGGAATTCCATTTATCAATATGTCCTAGAACATGTATACTGTATCAGCTGACAAAAGAGGAAAAGAAGAAGAATATATATGGAAAACGGTATCAGCATCGTTCCTAAAATATTACAAGCAAAGTACACTCTACTGTGTTTCTTAATATTTTTGTAAACTTTCTCCATCTGTCTTTTTTTCCCACACATATTGTCACCTACTAAAATTAAAGAAGTTTCAATTCAGTTAGGTACCTCAAAAGTTGAATTCGTTGAAGGCGGATTAATCTTGGAACAGATTGACTGATCTGTCCTCATATTTATTTTTTTTTTTATTATTATTTTTTTATTCACGGGAAACCCCCATTTACAAGTTTGAATACAGTATGAATATAAGAATATAATGAATATAATCAATATACACCATGTCTCAACACATAGGTACTCACTTAACAATTTCGATAAGGAAATGAGGAGAATAAAATCATGAAACGAAACAATAGGCTATAAATCCAAAACAATCTCGAAAAATAAAAATACTAACTTGTCTCATTACATTCTTGTATATGCATATATTCCTTTGAACCTTCTTCAAATAATATGCAACTTGTATCCATATAGGGTGTTCCTTAATGACATGCTAATATTCAAGGGGGCAATTCTTGGACCCATTTCAAGAATAAAACTTTATATGAACGTATATCGTAAAAGTCCTAACTTTTGAGATACAGGGTATCAAAGTTCAACATATACATAGATTCTATTTTGTCCACCCTGTATAGCTTTTCCTGTTGGAAAAATTCATTCTGCTATGTGACTGAAACGGTGCAAAAATTTCAAAATTTCACATACTGTGATTTACATCAAAATTTGAAGTTTGATCTCGTTTTTCCGTTTTTTCTCTAAAACGGAGCGTCCCATCAAGTATCAACAAGAGGATCTTCTCTGTATGAAATTGAATTGCTTTTTAGATGTTAGAGCATTGTATGAAATGAACATTCCTTCGTTGCTCACTTTTAAGAATGATATAATCATATTCCCATAACGGCGTCACTGGTTGGGAAAAGGAAAAATTGTATGCATCAAAAAATGTACCTTGATGCATAGAAGATATGTACCAAATTTCATAAAGATGTCTACAATATTATCCCAGTTATTTTTGAAAAACTGTTTTTTTTTTCAAAACTTTATCACCCAGTATCGGGAATTCGTGTGGGTTCTTTGATAAGCTGCTCTAAGCCGTGAGTGATGGCGAAAGTTTAGACTTTTAGGACATACGTTGGTAGGAAGTTTTTTCTCAAAATGAGTTGATGAATCACCCCCCGAATATTAGTATGTCTTTAGGGAACACCCTGTATAGTTTGAGTCAGAAGATAGTTTAAATCTCATGTTCAAGATAAAAACATGACCACCTAGCTATAAATTTGGCGTGTCTACATGTGGAATTGATATTAGATCATAAACCCAGGGATTAAAATTGCACTTTCAATCCCGATGTGAAAAGTTTGTACAATTCGCAGATGACTTCAAAAGAACTTCAGTCCCTTTTAAATAGAAACTAATTCATGCACTTCAGGAGTAGAGAAACTAAAAATGAAATAATCAAGAAGATAATGGAATACTATACTACCTATTCTCGTACTCGTAACAGTACTCTGGTTTCAAAATGTCAACTTTGCTGAATGATGAATGATTATCATATTGTTGTTGACATCCAAAAGTGATGCTATGTCGTTGCTATGGCGTTTGAGAGAAAAATGTCACTATTTCACCTCTGGCCTGAGTGATTGAACCACTTCAGTCCTTCAAATGCAGGATCAAAAGTCTCATTTTATGAAGTGCATAATAGTTATATATACACTGCAAAAAAATTGAGGGAAATTTCATTCAAGGTCCACACAATAATGTATCAATTACGGTCCACGCCTCGGTTCACGCGCGAATGAGTTGAAATTTCACCATACTTGACTGTGTAAAATGGTAATTCATGAGCCGACTCGATCAAATTTGTTATAAACATTGTCATTGTTAGAAAAACTTGATGAAACATCTAGTTTAAGTTTAGAATTCACTCAAAAATTTCAATCAGTAAATTCACTCACAACCACATACTCAGTCATTCAAACGAATTGTCTACAGTGTACACCAAGGTAGTAAAGAATATCATCATTATCCAGGGACCAAGATTATATTCCGAGGCTTGAGCCTATATCAATGTGTATCTAAAATTTTTTCTCCACTAGCAATATAATTCAATCATCATTTCATCAATCGGTATGGAAGCACTTCATATAATAAATTCTAATTATATTCTAGTAGCCATGACAATCGCAGATTCGAGTGCCACTCCTGCTAATCTGGCATCTGAATAGTGAATTCGGGTTAATTATAACAGAGATGGATAAGTCTTCATGAACTATAATTCATAAAATGACAAAAGCTTCCTTAGTAGAGAAATCAAACTTCACGCTTTGAAAATGAGTAAACAATGGTAGGTTATAGCTAGTGGTGTGAAAAATGTCTCATCAACCTCGCAGTTGGCAAACTTACCCTCAACTGCTGTAGATTTTCCGGTACAACGCTAACTTCCTGTCTTGCCACTCCGATAACTTGGTTTTGAACGAACTTTTCGGGAAAACTACTGACGATAGAAGGTATATTCAGGTGTTTGGTGTCTTCCCTGTGGAGGAGGGCCACAGAAAAGGCGTAGATGAAGAGGTAGGGATTGACGCGTTCACGGGCATAGACAGCGACTGCCATCAGGTCGTCCTTGGTCCGCAAACCTGAAAAATGTTGTATCAATAGTAGCTGGAGGACCTCGGAAATCTATTATTATTGTCCTGGATTACAAACATCTTTTACAATTGAAAAAACTGTTTTCAAGTTTCAATTTCAATATTTCCTTTAAAACTAACTCCAACCTTAAAACCTTATTAGTGAACACTAAAGACAAAATCCCCACTTCTAAAAAATCCGCAGTTTACAAACTTAATTGCAATGACTGCAACTCCTCTTATGTTGGTCAAACTGGGCGGAGTTTTGAAACTAGAGCCTCTGAACATAATAGAGCGATTAGGAGGAATAGGAACATCAATAATTTAAACACTAGTTACTCCTTCGCAAACCATATAATTGAATCTAACCATAATTTCAATATATCTGACAACATGGAATTCCTTCACATTTGTAATGAAGGCTCCAGGTTGAACCTATTGGAAATGCTAGAAATTCAAAAATGTATAAACAATCCCAATTTCACATGTCTTAATGATCAAACCAACTTTTAACGTAACCTCATTTTTCGTACTATGAAATTTCAATGATCAACATAACCCAGATTGATCTACTGTTATTCTTCTCCCAATCTCTTGTTCTCATTGTTTCAAATTTTGATTTTGTTTTGGTTATTGTTAATTAATTTATCATATTGACGTCACTTGTCGTTGTCATATTCTGTGTCACCACCTCAGTTATTAGTTTCATGTCAGTTCCGGTTGACTTTGACATGTGTCACTCATTCTTTGACTATTTATTTCCTTGTGATTTATGATGTTTCTGGTCCCTTGAAGTCTATCTTAGCTTCCATTTGCTTTTCGCATTTCTTGATGAATCTCACGTGAGAGAATTTTTGAATAATAATTTTCTGATGTACTTCGCCAATAACCCAATTTTAATTTGGTTTTACTGGACATTCTCCAGATTAAAAACCACTTGAATATGCTGGACTGTTAACTGCATTTTTTGGACTTAGCTTTTAAATTGTATTTTTTCTCAATATGTTATAAGGTTAGTATATGATGATGGCCTGTGGCCGAAACTAGTAACACGTCGCTTATTAAATGATTTTGTGGTCGACAGACTTTGGGATTTTCATTGTTTTTTATTTATAATTGTAGAAATAGTGCACCTCGAATCTTCTTGATTGTATACAAGGTAGACGAAATTCTTTTGATTTTCTAATAGATTTAGAAATGTCCATAATGTCGAGGCACCTGCACGCAGAGAAAAATACTGTGAAAATACTAGGAAGCAAGAGAAGTTCACTGGAAAGGACAGTTGATATATGAACAGACATTCTTCTCAGTGAACTAGTGAGTTCAAGTAAGATGATGTGAGATAGATGCGGACTACATCTTATGATAGTTAACTTCATCATGAACAGGATGGATTGAGTACTGGTCAATCAAATTCGTATAGGAATAGTGAATTGCAAAAAAATATAACAGCACTCGTTTATAGTCACCTACCTCCTCCCCCTATCCTCCCTCCTAGGTACGCACGAAGTTCCCCAAACATTATAAGAATTTCCTCTCGTGCGCGCCAAGAGATGGAAAAAATACAGGTAAGTGATTATTTTAATCCACATATCCATTATCTGGAGTAGAATATCATACTCTGATCAATATTGTGTTTATGTAATAGTATATTTCACTATACTTATGAAATCCACATAATTATGGATGTTTAGAAAATCGGAATGAAGAGACTACCAAATACTAACCACAAGCAGGAAATGATATATTTTTTTCCTGTGACACGAAAAAAATTTTAAATTTCATCATTGTTGACAGGTTCAAAGATGTCACTTTTCATGAATTACTTTTTGTCCAAGGGAAAAAAGTGAGTACTTTTTTCACATTGTTGATGGTATTTGTTATGCATATATCTGAAAAATAAGCCATTAACACCGTCTCCGACAAAGTCCATTTAATTTTCTTTCCACTTCGCGGTCACGTAAATTACTAAACAACCACTTAGTTCGCAATTTTTTGAAATCAAATTACAGAATTATACTGACAGGTATTTGATTACGTCAAAATAATGATGAGGATGTCTACAAAAAGATGCCTGCAAGGCAGGTATAATTCCTGTTAAAATCTTCAAATTTCATGTCGATAATATTCTGATTTCACTATAATTCAATTTCTTCTCATTATTGAATCGTCCTTCATTTTGTCACACAAAAAAATAGTGTAATATACACGATATTTTGTCACCCTCCACTACGCGTCGGGGGACAACACAACCTCGAGCTGAAATCTACTGTTAACTATTTTTCAATTCAAGCTCTGATGTCAGCGACACTCACTTTGCTCAAATGGTAACACATATTTTTTTGAGTTGTTTCTGATGAATGATTCAATGACATTAGTGACTTTCAATAATTTGACTATCGCCCATCTTAATGGATATATCTTGAAATTTTAAATGGGTCATAAAATGTGACAGTGAATGTTATTGAAATAACTGAATGAGATAAAAAGGTCCATTTATTGTCGGCAGAGTATTTTCAATACTTCATCACTAATAATGTGCGAGAACCAACTTGTTATAGTTGTTATGCACTAATTTGAGAAAAGAAAATCCTGATCAGGAACAATTCGAAAAAAATTAACAGTTGTCTAACTTTCAATCTTACCCTGGAGTTAGGAATGTTTTCCCGTAGTTGTCACTGCATCGTCAAATGATGACTACCGCGAATATATTATTTAGAACGAATTGATAGAACAAACTTCGTATATACGGAGAATCTCTCGACGCTGTTTTGTAGAGCTTGAAAAGTGGCAATGAGAAAGTGTGTTTTGTTTTCCTATATCTAAATTACGTTAGAAAAAAAACGATCTCCATGATGGGCATCCTTATCTTGGACAAAGTGTATAATTATGGAGAAAGAATTCCGAAATACGCGAACAGAAACTTTTATTATACAGAAACGTTTCGTTTCGTCAAAAAATCAATAGGAAGTTGTCATTTCATGTTCAAAATCTCTGAATTATGAGTTACATCTCCAGATGAAAGTATATTCAATTTACCAACCTAAGAAAATATCGATAAGTTTCCCAGCTAACCGCTGATGTTTCGGGATGAATAACGAAAATGCCTGGTCCCTTTTCAATTCCAAGATATCTCCTAGTGGGGGAATGGATATCTGATTGACTACCACTTCTTCTTCAGCGGATTCTCCGAATCTGCTGACGATCTGGGAAGCGAATGGTTGATATTTCTCATTCTGAAAAAAAAGTCACTTGATGATGAAATCTGATGGAGAAAAACCTATAACATTCATTTTACATTGTCGTGGGGTATAAAGGCTGAGGAGAGCCAACAGCTCGAAACCGGTCTGCTGGTAGTCACACGTTCCTGAACCACTAAGGCGCAGCTCGGCGTTTAGGAAGGAAACACTCGCGATTTTATTCGTCTATACGAATATTTGCATAGATTATGGAAGGATCTAATTCAATGTTCTGCGTGGCATATATCGTTATCCACCATTTTCGTTCATTTTATGAGTTATCGTGGTGATGAGTTTGAGTTTCTCTCTTTGTGATTTCATATTCTGTTAAAAATTACCAATTTTTATAAAAATTATCTGCTGATGAAAATTTTAATTCTTCAGTTTTGAATATTGGAAATTAGAATGAGTAGACATCTACAAGGTGAAAAAGTTTTGAAGACTAATGATCGAAGAATCCATAGAACTCGATGGCATACTATTAGGTTTCGTACTCTTTGGACATTATGTTCTGAAGGGTCTATGATTGAGGCATCGAAATTCATATTTTTACATATTCCAGTTTTGTTGAAAGTTAAAATTACAGCAAATTGAATTTCATCAATTATGTTTCTTGATCTTTTGGAGACTATAAACATTTGGGCAAACTTCAGTACTCGAAATATTTAAATATAGAGGGTGGATTATTCAAGATTTTTTTTGAGAAAAATGTAAGTTTCAAGGCCTTATACAGTTTGGAAACCAATAATACATATGAAACGTATTGGATTATTCAAGATTTTTGTTGAGAAAAATGTGAATTTCATGGCCTTATATAGTGTGGGAACCTATAATGGAATGAGATCCGTATATATCCATTATAGAAATATAGTTTTACAAATACCTCCAATCACTTTTCTACCCTATTGTTCAACCACTTCAAAAATGTTGAATTGTATAAGGGATCAAGTAACACCTTGTTACAGAGGTATTTCGAATCTCAATACGACGGTTTATTTCTTTTAATTCGGTTGGGCCTTGTACACTTCAAAAGTGTTGAAAGGGTTTATCTGTAGGGCTGGAGATTGACAGGTGCCTGAGAAATTGTATGTGGAAAAATAGATTGTCAAAAATTGAAATCAACCGGCCAAGGATTTCCTAAAATATAATTTTGGCATGGAGATACGTATCTATATAATATGTGTCGATACAGCGTGTCTCACTTTAAATGCTCCCCTCCTCTATATCTCAGCTAGTCGTGCGATTCGTACCAAATTTGGTAAATAATAATACTGTTAATTGGTGATATTGAAGTGTCTTTCAGTTTCTCTCGTAATTCGAAATAATATAATGATCTATCATAGGAATAATAAAATGAAACACAATCAAAAAGAAGTTCCTGCAATTCTATTCAAATGGTGGAATTTTACGGAGCTGCAACTCCTAACATATATGTCGCACAAAAAAATTTTGCGCACAAAAAATGTAGAATATTTTGTCTTATTGAACTTTGTAATGAGCTTGTTTGGTCGTGAAAGCCACCGTTTTTGAGTTATTATCAAATAAGCAAATTTTTGTACCTAAAATCCAAGGTGACGGCTCAACATGGATTTTTCATAAGGGCCCCAAACCTAACAACATACTGAAAAATCGCTTCTATATACCCCACCTTCTGCATTCAAATAACCCCTACAAACTGTTCTATATGGTCACAAATCAGATACGAAATTTACGATATAGACTCGTTTGATATCTTCATCAATGGAAAATGGCTGATTAAAGTCAGATTTCCCAAGTGATATCGAAGAAGCACCATGCTGTTCGCCTCTAATATTCCACTTTAAGCAACTGGATATGTGAAATAAGACGTTTCAAAACTTCCGTCAGTTTTGAAAAGTGTCAATTTACATGACGAAATTAGGAAATTTAATTTATTCAGTGTATTATGGAAGCACTGCACTCAAAACTAAAATGGTCAAGTACAGGCTCTCCCATTTTCGATGTCCTTACTCACTCATTTTCAAAGATAAAGTTTTGAGGTTCTCGCGAACGTTGGCTTCTTTTTTCTAAAACTCACGATACCGCAAACAGAATTAAAACGCTTCGTTTTTGAGATACAGGGCGAAATTGAAAATGTTGCATTTTGGGACCCCCCTTGTATCTCAGTTATCATTCTACTTATCGAGGAAGTAAAAAGTCTTTCACACATTTTTTCACGTAGAATCCAATGGCGTAGACAGACTTCCGAAATAAGCTATAATTATGCAGATATAACGCAAAGTTCTATTTTTCAAATGGAACTCCCTTCAATAGAACGATACCTGAACAATATAAAGTGTACATTTCAACAGTTGATGGAAAAAAAGATTCAAATATTATATTGTGAATTTAGGAAGAGTAAAAGTTCATTCACTTGTAATCTGATTATCAGTTTTATACTTTATACTGCTTTGTCTCATTCATGTGTTCCATGTGTTTTTTTTTTATAATTCAATCTTCTTTTGTTTTTAAATTTATACAAGATATGGGTATTATCTGTTTCAATTTTTTCAAGAAATACTGTCTGTTATCACGAAAATTACCCAATTAAGAAGACAATGAGACAAACTTATGAGATAACTTGTACACGCACAGCCTCCTTCATTATTATCATTACTATTATTTATTATTATATGATATTCTGAGTATAAGCTATGAAATCAGATAGTTTCTACTTTTTTAGCAGATTCTTCATCGATGGGCCTTTTGAATATGTGGCAACATTGTCCATATCACGAATTTTCATATTCACCTTGTTGCTGACATAATTTTCCGTCACACACTAGTTTCGATTTCAACAACATTCAACATTCACAAATATTCAGTACTATTTATTGATAATAAAAGCTGTGAACCTCATTAGTAGGTGGCTATGAATAAAAAGCGAGTGTGTAGAATGTTCCATAAATTTTTCATGCATTTTTCATACGATAGTGAATACTTATCCTGGATATGGAAACTACAAAAAACTAGAGGTTGGGATATAAGTTGGATTTTAAAATTTCATATAGTTTTGATATCCTGGATTATCTTTTGCCGTTGTATGAAAATGCTGAAAATTTGACAGGTAGGTGACAAAGATTATGCAACATTCTACCCTCACTTTTTTTCATTGCCACCTACTAATTAGGTCCACAGCTTTTATAATCAATATATATAGTGCTGAATATTGATAAATATTGCATGTTGGTAGAATCAGAGCTAGTGTGATGAAACACTGTACCAGCAACAAGGTAAATATGATTATTCATGATATGGACAATGTTGCCACATATTCACAAGGCCCATCGATAAAATATCTACTGAAAAACTAGAAATTGAATAAAAAATAATTGCTAATACTTGAAATCCCTCATAAGTGTTTCATATTTTTAGAAAGCGCCGAGCATCAATATTTCAAACATGCAAAAATATACAGGGTCTTCCATTCAAAAAGATAGCTATGGGTTATATCTGAATGATAACAGTTTATTATGAAAATCTGACTACACCACTGGATTCGACGTAAAAAAATGTATGAGCGTCGGTTTTTACTTTTTCGATAAATCTAAAGATAGATGAGATACAAGGGGTGTAATGCAACTTTTACAATTTGGCCATGTATCTCAAGAACGAAACAAGTTATGAAAATGTTGTTTCCGGTATCGTTATTTTCACAAAAAAGTAGCCAACGTTTGCAAGAACCGCAAATCTCCATCTTTGAAAATGAGTAAGATATCCCGTGGGGACATACACTTTTATAAAAAATAACAGTGTTGATGAATTTATCTTACCAAGTATTCTGGTGGCACACTGATCATTTTCTTCTTCTTTCCTCCTTTCAACAACGCCACAGATTCCGTGGGTCGGTCGAATAGCAACAATAAATCTTTCGCGTTCACCATGTTTCTGCTATTGTCTTTCACCTAGTGTTGCCGAATGACATTAAATTATTATTGTTTATCATCATTTATATAGTCTAGTTTTCTGAAAAACATCCAGTATTCAAAACATTTGTGTTGTTTGTGGTTTTCAGCAAGTGATGATTATCGATACTTGAGGTATTAACTAAGAATTTTTGGTGGGAAAAAAACAATAATTTCATTATACAATCTTACAATCCTATATACCGGGTGTGCCCATAAGTATACGGGTGTACCTATGTAAATTACATTACATTTGATTAGAACGAAGGTAGATATTTGCTGTGAAATGTTTTGATAAACCTCTCCCCGTAAAAGCTACACCCCTCCGATGATCAACATAAAAAAGGTATTCCTTTTTGCTTTTTCCTGAATATTAAGCTAAAGATACGAAACTTGGTGAATATCATGTTTCAAAGAACATTTTATATTTTCTTCAAAAGTATGCTTAGACGCGGGGTTGAAACCCTAAGGTATATTTCTTACTAATTTTTTTTTTGGTGAATTTTTTTAAACGTGACTGGAAAGCACAAGTTACAATCCTATGAGAGTTTTTCAGAAAACTTGAGCATTTGCCATGTTTTTTAAAAGAAACTTTCATGTCAAAATATCTTAGGGTTTGAATATTTCCACTCCCTATAAGCAAAAGGGTTGAAAACAACAAAATGTGTAGTTTTATTGACAAATAATATTTACCAAGTTTCGTGTCTTTACCTCAATATACAGAGGAAATAAGAAAGAGAAACCATTTTTTTCAGCAGGGTGTAACTTTTCCGGGGAGAGGTTTTTCAAAAAATGTTATACTAAAAACCCACCTTAATTTGCATCACAGAATCACCCCTTATTTTTTGTCGGTGTAATCCAGATACAACATGTATACATGAACATCTTAATAATATAAGTAGATGAATATTTGAGATTCAAATAATCACTCTTTGTTATTCTGTCTAAGGCAATAATTTTTCTATTCCCGTACCCGTGCACGAGAATTGAATATCTGCTATTAAATTATTGATATTGTTGATTTCAAAACAGGTTCTCATTATCCTACAGATTTTAACAAATGAAGACACGTACTTCTCATTATCAAATGAATTTTCGGCCAAAGAAAACATGTGGTACTTGGATCTTGGATATTATCAAGTATGGGTCTATATTTCTAACTTGCTCAAGTTGAAAACATTCAATTTCAATTGACATCAAATCACAAGTCAATACATAGTACAATCAATTCATGGACTGATGGAGATGTTGGAATATGTCGAAATATATATATTTCGAAATGAATTTCCGTTTTCATTTCATTATTTAATGATCGTAGAAAAATAAGTATATGCGAGGAATGCGACGATCACGTAAACTCGCACACGGTTTACGACACTCGCCTTCGGCTAGTATATCATATACAGGGTGAGTCATGAGGAACTGTACATACTCCTAACACGAATAGAGGCCCCTGCGGGAAATGGACATTACATCAGAAAGTGTCTTCTTCACTTTTTTCCCATTATATTGGGTGAATTTTGATATTTGGCAAGAACATCTTTAGGTCATAACTTTCCAACAGCTTCTTCGATTCGTCTGATTTTTTCATGGAATATTCCGTTACTACTCTCTAATCGACTGACTAGTTAAAGAACCGACCAGGGGTAAAGCTCTATTAGATCCAATTTTCATTAATGATAAGGACATCGCCATAAGCGGAGGAACAATAAGTGGGGATCTGAAATCGGATCACAGTCTTTCTCACTGTATTGTTGATTTAGAATCAACTGAAAAAGCTAAAAATAAATTCGTCACATACAGGGATTACTCAAATTTTAATTCTGAAGCTTTTCAAGAAGATCTACATAAACTACCATGGTTTGAACTCTTGAATGAAACTGAGCTAGATAGAAAAGTGGAAATTTTCAACGGATTTTTATTCCAAGTTTTTGACCTTCATGCTCCAAAACGATCGGCTAAAGTTACAAAACCACGTGCTCCTTGGCTAAATCAACACTTGAAGGATGCGATAAAGATGCGAAATAAAGCACTGAGTAAATTTAAAAAATCTCGCTTAGATGGTGACTGGGAGGACTATAAAAGATTACGTAATTCAACACTTACGCTTATTAGGAATGAGAAAAAAGCATATATTGATACTTTTTGTAGAAATAATGATAGCAGACGTGTTTGGAAGACATTAAGAAATCTTAACGTGGCTCAGAACAAAAGTAATTCAATTCCTGACGATATTTCAGATCCTAATAAAATTAATGATTTCTTTGCTCAAATTTGGTCTGGTTCGTCGGATGATATCTGTACGGATGCTATTGATTTTTATGAGAATGATGATTCATTTCAAGGAGCTGATAATTTTCAGTTCAAGATGATCAGTGTGGAGCAAACCCATGATTATCTTTCGCAAATTAAATCTGCAGCTTATGGTATTGATGATTTATCAATCAATATGATTTTACACTGCAGTCCCTTCATTGACCCTTTCATTACACATTCAATTAATTACTCTATCGAAAAACAAACATTTCCTACACTATGGAAAATTTCTCTGGGCGCCCTTTACCAAAAATATCTAAACCTACTACTCTATCAGATTTGAGAATAATTAGTATTTTACCGTGTCTTTCAAAAATTCTAGAGAAACTCATGGCTGCGCAAATCACTGATTTTGCCAAGGAAACGAACATTATTCCATCATCTCAAACAGGTTTTCAAAAAAATCTTAGTACCTCCGATTCACTTGTCAGAGTGTTAGATGATATCATTGCAGGATTAGACAAAAAAGAAAGCTCCGCACTTGTTCTACTTGATTTTTCACGAGCATTTGATACAATAAATCACAAACTCCTCCTGGCAAAATTGACTTCCTATGGATTTTCTCATGATGCTTTATTATTGATAAAATCTTATTTCAGTAATAGAAAGCAAAAAATATTATCCAACGGTAATCAGTCTGGATACGTTAATATCACAACAGGGGTTCCCCAAGGTAGCATTCTTGGACCACTATTGTTTATAATTTATACAGCTGATATTTTGAAATCTATAAATAAATGCAGTGTATGTGCATACGCAGATGATACACAAATTGTCATTAAATTCCCTGTTGATAAGTTAGAGCAAGCGCAACTTGATCTCAATTACGATCTCAACGTTATCTCCTCTAAAAGTTCATCACATAATCTGAAACTGAACTCTACAAAATCGAAGTTACTAATTTTTTCACCTCGCAATCAGTACGAATATATTAAATCTAATCTTTTAGTTAGCATCAATGGAACTCAGATAAACGTTGAACACTCTGTGAGAAATTTAGGATTGGTGTTGGACGATGATCTTAGTTTCAAATGCCATATAAATAATTTACCTAAAAGGAGTTTTACATCGTTGAAAGTTTTATATTCCAACAGATATATACTGAACCCAAAGTTACGTAAACAATTATCTGAGAGTCTAGTTTTATCCCAGTTTACGTACTGTGACTTTCTTTATGGACCTTTTCTGGATGCAGCGTTCAGAAACAAGATACAGAAAGTACAAAACTACTGTATTCGATTCATTTTTGGTCTCAGAAAATATGATCATGTTAGTCAAAAATTAAAAGAGCTCAATTGGCTAAATATGGAGAGTCGTAGAAAGTTACACTTGGCAAATTACTTACAGAAAGTCATGCAAACAGGTCCGGTGGACATAAAAAGTAATCTAGTTCCACGGTCTCAAGTTCATTCCGTGAATATAAGAAAAAAGACAACCATAACAATTCCGCATCATTCGACAACTCTCTTTCAGAAAGGATTCACTAACAATGCTATTAAATTGATCAATTCATTACCTGACAATATGATGAACCTTAGTAAGTCTGCTTTCAAGCATCGTTTCAAGCAGAAGCTCTTATCGGACCTACCGATCTAATCAATTATTCTGATGTGAATAGTATGATTCAAAGATGTAGTCTGTAATAATTTAGTAAAATCATGTAATGTAACCATGTCATTATCACATAATCTTTTCTTACATGCTATCTTATATTATGCAGATCATTATGGGGTTAGATGTAAGAGTAGCCTAGCTAAATTTCGCCCCTTAATGATCATAACAATTGTATTTGTTTTCATCATACTTTTATAAATAAAGTCGATTTATTATTATTATTATTATTATTATTATTATTATTATTCAGAATAAAGAAAATCCGAGACAGTTCTCGCAAAAATTTTGATAGTTTAGTTTATTGCAAAAAGTTCATCATGTATGTATCATGTATCATCACAAACAAACATCAAAATTGAAATATTCCAAATTTTCACACTTTCACTGCAGTTTGAAAAGAACTATGAATTTTATTAAAAAACGAAAATTTGACAAGAAATGTATCCATTTGGAAATTAACTCTTTGCAACTCATGAATTTTATGAATACAAGTGAGACATACATTTCCAATGATTTAGCTCAATAGAAATCAACATTATTTCATTTTCAGGCCTGGATTTAGTGATTCAAGGAGGATATAAATCACCCTGTAGATCTTTTTCGAATCAGTGGATGGGGTTGATGGGGTATCTGTGAAAATATTGATGACCATCGCTATAAATAATTTCATGATCTCAATTCACAGTTTTTTCTATACGATTTGTTCAATTTTGTTAATTTGGTCCCTTATTTTCCGTACTAGAATTATTATCCGCCTTCGTGAGTATAGGTTTTGAAAAATAGTTGTGAATAAACTTCCATTTTCTGTTCGACTATCTTGAATTATTTGAATAGATTTGAAAAAGAGACCTACAGGGTGATTATTACCCATCACAAAAAATGGAAAGATGAAATCCAGGACTGGAAAAGAAAGAACATGTTTTTTTTATGTTCTGGTTCCCACGAAAAGGGATATCCTGTAATGTTCAGAGAACCAAGGGAAAGAAGGTAGGAATTGGTGTTCTTCTTAAATTTCTGGAGGCTATATACCTCGTGGAACACCTCCCTTG